TTTCGTTACGTTGTTTTGGAAGGCTGCCTCACTAGATTTCACTTCCGAATGTAGCCCTTCTCTTCATTCGCTTTCATTGCTTCTTTGTAATGTCTCGCAACTTCTGGCTTCTTGAGGAGGTTTTTCTCTAAAGAAGACAAACGTTTCCCTGCTTCTTCTCTTCTTCATAGTCAGGTAAGGAGGGGAACCCTGCCTTACACAAAGTTGCTACTTCATAACGGTCCCCAATCCATCATCTTGACTTTTCGACCTTTGACATAGTTAAGATCTCCTCCTGATTCAGCTGATTCTCGTCTGAATTTCTAACTCCAATTGAGTCAATCTCCCACATTCTTCATAGTTGTTCATCAAGACAAGGTACGGATCTGAAAGGTTTTGGTGTAGGCAACCCTTTTAGCTGACAAAAGAGCGAGTAAATGTCCAACACAGGTCCACCCCAATGGCGTTTTTCTTGCTACTGGTGCTCCAATTGGACGATAACATTCTGTAAAGGCTGGCTTAAGCTCAAGATGGTTTGATCTGATCAGAATGTCAATCGTTTTCCTTCCGGGGGCTTTAGGAAATGGAATATTTTGAAGTTGTTCCTATTTGACCTTGTATCGGAGAGAATAATCGACGACGAAGAGAGTAATTCACAAGCCTTCCAGGGTAAACACAACTATGTTTGAACTGATCCAATGCAGTAAACATACATAGACGGTCAGCAAGATGAAAAGCATAAAACCTCAGTAAAATCACATGCACATGTTTGTGACGTGTTCTTGACGTAACAATACTGACACATGACCCCTGACTGGAAAATCTTAGTACATCGAATCATGAAAAATAACAACAACTAATCACACAGAAAGTATCTAAATGTCCATTCTACTTTCCAAACCATTTGGCACGATTCCAGTCTAGAATAGACAAGCCCTGACACATTTCATTCAGTGTCCATGCTTCAACAGTAGATTGGGTCTCCCCATTGAGAGTTTTTATCATCAGTGAGACTTTCTTGCTTTTGAAAGGAATACAACTCTGTCAAGGTGGTGAATCTGAGGGTTTGTTCATCAGTCTCAAGGCTGTTACGATGTCATCTTAGATATAAGTTGAATATGACCCATGGTCTAGGAAGGCTTTGACTTGGATGCTTTGAACCTCTGAGCCTATAAGCCAAACAGAAACTGTTTGACTTGTTTCCATGGAGACAGGGAGGAGCCAACATGCACAGCTTGTGTTCAGTTAGTAAGGAAGGAGCACATCCAAAAAAAAAAGGTTTGATTGATATTAATTGATTGCAGCTCATCGAGTAATACTGAGTGGTCTATGATATCAAATCCTTTAGTAGAATCTGCAAAAAATATCTGAACAGATTAGTTCCATAGATTGGCCTTTAACCATGGTGCGTTACACTGGAGTTTAAGTTGTTTTGATGGAATATTACGTTC